TCTCTATTTAGGTGTGACAATCTTAAGAGATTTAGAGTTTGATCGGTGCGAGTAAGGGCGTTATTTCTAGAACCGTCTGAAGAAGTATAAAAGATTTGATAATTATATTTATTTTCCAAAGGTTGTAGCGTTAGTTTTAGATCGGAATCGACGATTAATTCGCTTTCAGAAGTATTTACAACGGAAATATTAATTCTTGAATTTGATTTCACTTTTACGATGCAGTTAGCTATTAGGAGCGAGTCTACGGGGTTCTGATCGAGAACAAGTCCTTCTTTAATGTCCGGATTTCTTACAGAACACTCTATGATAGTTTCACATCGAGGTGCAATAGTATAGACTGGCTTAGTGAAACAAAGCTCTATTTCATCTTTATTTACTTTTAAGGTGTTGTTGTCATAATTAATTTTGCAATTTAATTTGATAAGGAAGTCGCTACCAATGATTCCGTCATACGGCAAATCAAACACCGGAAGTACGTAGAAGTTATGTTGGTAGGAACAAAATTTAATTGGGATGTGACCAAGGGATGTAACAGAGTCATTTCCTATACCAATAATTTCTATAGTATTATTGTTTATTTCAGGCATCTTTTCCACAGCAGAATCTTTTATAATACTGATAGCTGCGCCGGTATCGACGAGCAAGGATAAGGACTTCGACGAGACAGAAGTTTGAACTTTTATAAAAGGTAAGTATTTTTTTGATGGATTTGTAGAGATGTTATATATTTTAATATTGTTTTCTTTCTTTTCAGATGCAGGAGACGAAACACTCCTCGATATGACGCCGTTGATAGGCTGTTTGTTAATTGAAGTAGCATTATTAACTTTCAATCTGTCGGTTTGGGGCTGGATACCCTGTCGGTTAGATTGAGTTGGAATAGGAATAGAGAATGAGTGAAATGCTGTGTTATGATTGGTAATGGGGTGAGTATCGGCTTTGCTATTTAGTCTTCCCGTGCGATACTGGACGGGAAATCCTCGGCGTTTAAATGATGGTTGGTGTTATCGACATTTTGATCGTCTGCAATAGCAGCATTGATATGCTGATTACGATTTGGGAAAGTGTGAGGCGGTGGACCATTATTGTTGTAGTTATTGCGATTAACATTATTATTACTATAACTGTTCTGAGCGTTACCAAATCGTCGTCGATTATTAGCCTCGCGTTTGCGGCATGTTTCTAATGTATGACCGGGTATTTTACAATATCGGCACACTGGATAATCAGTTCTGAACATAGAGGAAGACCCAGTTGAATTATTAAAAGGCCTCTCTCGCGTAGTTGTTTGGTTTTGTTGAAAATTACGACTAGTAAAGCGTCTTTGGTTTGAATCCCGGGTATTTGTTTGACTAAGATGGCGTCGAGTCACCTGGAATATTTTTTCTTCAGACACAGCAAAATTTATAGCGTCATTGAGCGTATCGGGATCGCGGCATCGAACTACTGTTGATAGACGAGGATTTAAACCAACCACGAAAGTGTGTAACGCTAAGTCCTGCATTGCCGCGAGACGGCCTGCCAGTTCTCCCTTTTTTTTAGTAGGTATTGATATATTTATTTCTGTCAATAATTTAGACAAACATGTCTTTATTCGCAGGGCGTACTGGTTGACCGTTTCGTTATTGGACTGACGACATTCTTGTAGGTCTGAGAGCAGTGCAGCGTAATGTTTCCTGTCACCGAATTGGGATTTAAGAAAGTCTTCTAACTGTGACCAAGATTCAAATATTTTAATCGAGCACGCACTTTCAGCGCGTCCTTCTAACTGACTAAGTATGTATTTTAAAAGAATATCCTGTTGTTGATCTGACGCGAGGTTCATAGCATTACTACAGTTATTAATAAACGGCATTAATTTTTCTCAGTTGCCGTCAAACTTACTTATAAATTTACAAAGAATATTAAGATCGATGATTGGTGTCGAAATAACCGGTGTAGGTTCGTCTTTAGGCATTGTGACGGACGAGGATTAGTCAAAACAAAGATAAGGTACTCGGCGTTTCGCGTGGGCGCAGTAGCGATAAGGCGTTGCACTGGTCTCGAATACAAGCAATAGCACACAATTAAGATATAATGTTTAAAAGACACTTGATATACAATGAATTATATTAAAATGAATGAATGAAATTATAATTGAAATATGAATAAATTATTTAGATTTGACTGTTGAATAAATTAATTTATATATTTTGCAAAGTTTATAAAGTATTCAGTATTATTCACAATATTTAAAACTGTATCGTTATAATATTCGTATAAAGCTGGAGCGGACTTACAGGAACATGTCAGGTTTATGTACTTGTATTTTGATCGGGAATCAGGAACACAGCGACAGCGTTGAAAACAGCGAAAGTGTGCAGCACTGTAGACTTTGTAGCCTCGGTTTTCGGATGATGAGCAGATGCTGGGTGGTATTCTTCTTGTACTCTTTTTACTTTCCTTCGGTTGTATGACTTCTAGCATCAATTTTCATGCAGCCAGGCGGGTGTCGTTGTCGGAAGTTCAGCGAAGAAACTAGTTTTAAGCGATAAGTATTTATAGAGATCACAACACAAAATGTTCCAGTTATTGCACAATTGAGTCCTCAGAGGCACCAAGGACCTTTTATAGATCCCTCAGAACGGGGCTTCACGAAATGTCTTTTAAAAAAAAACTATTTAGAAATTGCACTGGATTTAATTATAGAAAGACACAAAATAAGAATTGAATTTTGAGAGGCGAGTGTTTCGGATGAGAGTGTATGACGGACTGACTGGTATTGCTAGTATTGTAATAAGAAAGTACTGAAGCTACTAAGAGAGTGCTGACTGTGTGCTTTGTGTCAGCGGATCCCTAGTAAAAGGGGATCTATAACAGTTCGCTACAAAACGAGATAAACAACGAGTAGCCGAGTTTAGAAACGATAGCTGGGATAATCTCTTAGAAGGTATCGAACCATCCCAAGACGCCTTCTGGAAACTAACGAGAGCTCTTAAAGCCGACAAATCCTCACCGATGCCGCCTCTCGTGAGGCTGGACCACCCCGATCTCGCCCTAGACGATCTCGAAAAAGCCGAATGCCTAGCCGACAGCCTAGAGTACCAGTGCACGCCATCCACTGCACCAATAGATCCCGCTCACCTATTAGAGGTAGAAACGGAAGTAGAACGTAGGTCTGCGCTGCCACCAGCGGATGAACCACTCGATCCTGTGACAGTCTTAAAAATAGATCAGCCACTGGGCCAGACGGCATCAGCAACAAGGTGATCAAATCCCTTTCGGCGCCACTTATTTGCCTCCTTGTTGGAATATTTAACACCTTTCTCACGAACTGCTCCTTCCCGGACATCTGGAAAGAAGCAGACGTAATAGGGATCCCAAAACCAGGTAAACCGCGTAATCGTCCCTCTAGCTACAGACCCATTAGCCTGCTCAACACATTGGGCAAACTATACGAGCGCATTATTCATAAGCGTCTCCGTCATTTCACCGAAGCTAACGGACTCCTCCCAGACGAACAGTTCGGCTTTAGAGCCAATCACTCTTGCACTCACCAGATTCATCGCCTAACACATTCCGAGTATATTCTGTCTGGCTTCAACCAAAACCCGTTAAGGAAAAAGGCTCGAAACACGGGAGCCCTCTTCTTCGATGTCGCGAAGGCGTTTGACAAGGTCTGGCACGACGGCTTGATTTACAAGCTGTACAAACTAAACGTGCCCGATAGACTCGTGCACATCATACGAGCTTTCCTTTCGAACCGCACTTTTCGATATCGAGTGGAGGGAACACGTTCTTCGAAACGTTTCCTCAAGACCGGGGTCCCACAGGGCTCCGTACTATCTCCACTCCTTTTCACACTCTACATGAGTGATATCCCAAAACACCCCGTAGTAAACACCGCTCTCTTTGCCGACGATACGGCACTCTTTGTGTCAGACTCCAACAAGAATAGACTCTCTATAAAGCTCCAAAAAGCGACCAATCGCCTTGGTGAATGGTTCCGCCTATGGAGAATTGACGAGAATCCCGAAAAAAGTGTAGCAATATACTTTCAACGGAATACATCAGCAGGTTCTAAACCCAAAACAATCTCTTTATACGACTGCCCAATCCCTTGGGAAAAATCGGCCAAATATCTAGGCGTCACTTTCGACTCCCGCAGAGTTTCAAGACGCACATAAGTGTAGTACGCAACAGAGCCAAGTCAATAATTGGCCGTCTACACCCCCTCGTTAACAGCAAGATTAAGCTGTCGCTAAGACACAAACTCCGGCTGTACAAAACCTGCATTAAACCAGTTATGTCCTATGCAAGTGTAGCTTTCGCCCACACATATAAGACCCATATTTTAAAACTAAAGAGTACAAAACTTTTTCATCCGAAAAGCCACCGGTGCACGGTGGTATCAACGGAACTCTGATTTACACAATGATTGTGAACTACCATCTATCACCGAATATTTTAAGGAGATTTCCCAACGCTACATTGATAGAGTAGAAACCCACCCTAACCCGCTAGTGACAAACGCAGCTAACTACGTTCCGATAACAAACGTCGCACCCTATCTCCGTAGACCGCGAAATATTTTAATAGAACCACCTCTACCGCTCGATCCAGTCGACCCAAGCGTCGCAGGCACATCACATAACGACACTACACCTACACTAAATGGGACAAACACCAATAGGACAACGAATGCGACGCGACGCACCTGCAGAGACGCGTTCCAGCTCACACCGCGTACATATCGTACACCCGCGTTCCTGGACGGTTCTCACCGCCCAGACCATCGACCGACACAAGCTGAGCAGTCAGAGACGGGGGTCCTCACACCCCCCCCCTCGGACTGCGGTTAGATAGCTCAAAGAAAAACGCCTAAAAGGCGACATGATGATTGATAACAATATCAAATCATAAACCCTTTTTAATTAGACCCTGACCCTGAGACAAGATGAAGCTGTAAGAGTCACATTAACTAACTTGATGAGGTACTTACCGCTGACGTTATCCAGGACGTGCCTCCGGGTGATTTTGTTTTAGCGCCTGAACCTAAAACAAAGAAGATTACTCAGATTAATCCTATTGATGAGGTACTTACCGCTGACGTTATCCAGGACGTGCCTCCGGGTGATGTTGTTTTAGCGCCTGAACCCGAAACAAAGAAGATTACTCAAATTAATCCTATTGATGAGGTACTTACCGCTGACGGTATCCAGGTAGTGCCTCCGGGTGATGTTGTTTTAGCGCCTGAACCTGAAACAAAGAAGATTACTCAGATTAATCCTATTGATGAGGTACTTACCGCTGACGTTATACAGGAAGTGCCTCCGGGTGATGTTGTTTTAGCGCCTGAACCTGAAACAAAGAAGATTACTCGGATTAATCCTATTGATGAGGTACCTTACCGCTGACGTTATCCAGGACGTGCCTCCGGGTGATGTTGTTTTAGCGCCTGAACCTGAAACAAAGAAGATTACTCGGATTAATCCTATTGATGAGGTACTTACCGCTGACGTTATCCAGGACGTGCCTCCGGGTGATGTTGTTTTAGCGCCTGAACCCGAAACAAAGAAGATTACTCAAATTAATCCTATTGATGAGATACTTACCGCTGACGTTATCCAGGAAGTGCCTCCGGGTGATGTTGTTTTAGCGCCTGAACCCGAAACAAAGAAGATTACTCAAATTAATCCTATTGATGAGGTACTTACCGCTGACGTTATCCAGGAAGTGCCTCCGGGTGATGTCGTTTTAGCGCCTGAACCTGAAACAAAGAAGATTACTCAGATTAATCCTATTGATGAGGTACTTACCGCTGACGTTATCCAGGTCGTGCCTCCGGGTGATGTTGTTTTAGCGCCTGAACCCGAAACAAAGAAGATTACTCAGATTAATCCTATTGATGAGGTACTTACCGCTGACGTTATCCAGGACGTGCCTCCGGGTGATGTTGTTTTAGCGCCTGAACCCGAAACAAAGAAGATTACTCAAATTAATCCTATTGATGAGGTACTTACCGCTGACGTTATCTGGGAAGTGCCTCCGGGTGATGTTGTTTTAGCGCCTGAACCTTAAACAAAGAAGATTACTCAGATTAATCCTATTGATGAGGTACTTACCGCTGACGTTATCCAGGACGTGCCTCCGGGTGATGTCGTTTTTGCGCCTGAACCTGAAACAAAGAAGATTACTCAGATTAATCCTATTGATGAGGTACTAACCACTCGTTATCCAGGACCAGGACGTGCCTCCAGGTGATGTTGTCTTAGCACCTGAACATAAGAAAAGAAGACTCCTCAGACCACTTCTATTAATGAGGTAATTACCGCTGAAGTTATTCAGGACATGCTTCCTGGTGATGTCGTCTTTGCACCTGAACCTGAAATAAAGAGATCACTCATACTAATCCTATTGACGAAGTACTTACCGCTGACGTTGTCCAGGACATGCCTCCTGGTGATGTTGTCTTTACGCATGAACCTGAAATAAAGAGGTAACTCAGACTACTTTTATTGACGAAGTACTTACCGCTGACATTATCCAGGACATGCCAAGATTACTCAGACTACTTCTTCTGACGTTATACATGAACCACGGGCGCACAGACAACGTTGACCAATCTACATTATTTCAACAACCTCAGGTGTACACTTCTTTGAAAACCGTGGTCTTTGAGCACGAACGTATGAATATAGAAGATAATAAGGGTTTTCCTTCGCTTATCAATATTTTTGATACATCTTTTTTTGATCCAACAACCGGCATCAGTGATTATGATATGAATTCCGAACACCTTCCGAACACCCGGCGTACAAAAGCGTAGTAATAAATATCATAATATTTTTTTTAAATCCCACGTTGATTATCTTTCTGATAATGAAGACTTTTCTGCAGGTAGGTTGGTGATTTTATTATTAATATCATGGAAAATAATAAAACTCGACCGTACTCCAAAAAAAATTTGGAGTTCGTTGACCTCAACAGTCGCAATCCTTAATCGTCCGATTGTTAAAATTAATTATACGGGATAAAGTGTACTTACATGAGATTAATATTTAACAGTGTATCGAGAAAGTTTCATATTATCGACTGTTGCATTTTGTTTTTGGTGATGCTTGTTATCGTGCATGCAATCAGTGAAGTTTTTTACGTATTTTTAAAAGGTGAATATAAACTTATCATTCAATAGACTTAGTTAACGCGTTTAGTGTACCCTCTAACGTCCGTCAATCTCGACCAATAGCAAGCGACTGCGCGCGCATCCCTGCCATACTTTGCAGCGCGAAGTGCATATACGTGCATTAAATTCACTTAAACCGGTAAGCGCCTTCTCGATTAACTGCGCACTAAAAACATATCTATTGCAACAGCTGACGCTTATCGATAGGAACCTACGTAAACCATGTCTTCTCAGTGTGGAGCTTGCTTATGTGACATCGGCAGCGCAGATTTGTTTATGGGATGCTATAGATGTAAAATCGTTTACCACATTTTATGTATCAATATCTTGGAAAAAGAATATGAACTGTTTACGGATGAATTTTTATCAAGCTGGCTATACCCTAACTGCCACTGCAGGACTCCTAAGGGTAATAATTCCAACACTCCCATTCGCACACCTAACTCTGAGCTGTATTTAAATGTCACCACCCGTCCATCAAAACGCAAAGCCGTATCCTCCACTATCAATGAGAACCAAAAGCCTACGTTGGAATCAATAAATGGCAACCTTCTCAAGCTTGCATCTGAAATACATCTTATGAGGGAAGCAATGACTGAAACGAAGGGCGCTATGCAAACAGTCTCGCAATGTCTCTTGGCCTGTACCTCAAGACTGGACTCATTGGAAACGCGTATGTCAAATGCCGAAGGGAAACTTCAGGTCTTGGATGAAAAGGAATCTGACATATATTCTCTTAAGGCCACCATTTCAATTCTCCAGGAACAACTCAACACCCAGTCACAATCCTCGCTACGAAATGAAATGGAGATCATGGGCATCAACGAAAACGTCAGTGAGAACCTGCAACACATTGTCCTCGTTACGGCTTCTAAGATCGGAATCACCCTCGTTAACGACGACATTGATTTCGTTGTTCGTCCAGGGAGTCGACGTGACCGAACCAACCAGGAAAGTCAATTTAAAAGACCCCGGCCTGTCATAGTAAGCTTTCTAAGAAAAGACAAGCGTGATAAATTTTTAAGGGCGACGAAAGCTAGACGTGACCTCACCAACTTAGATATTGAAGTTCAAGGACCTCCTAGAAAATTATACTTCAATGAACATCTTACAAAAAATATAATCGCCAGTTGTTTCGGGATGTTAGAACTCGATCAAGAGAAGCGGGTTATAGGTACTGCTGGATCAAAAATGGAAAAATTCATATCCGAAAGCACGAAGGTATTCCAGCCCGCACTATACGAAGTGCTGCTGACATGGACCGGCACCTCGTTGCCCAGGATCATGAGTGTAACCCATCTTCTTTTCCACACCAAGACAATAAATCAAATTAGCCTGCTTTGCTTGTTATTAAGTTACTGTTTGTTTTGTTGCATGTTATTATTATTCGATGTTAATGGCAATGATTCTTTGCAGCAATATTATGAGTATTATGAATATTTTTCTCAAATTTTTATTGTTAATTTATGCCAAACGAAAGTGCACAGAAGTATTAGTTTACCGATAATTGTAAAAATAAAATTATTCACCTATTCATAACTTATGTATTTAATAATCTTTACTTTTTTACAAATAGTTATAGTACACTCGCTAAAGAATTTCCTTCTAAATCATATTATGTTACACATATTTGTAATTTAGGCAAAATACTACTATTGAATATCGCGAAGAAAAGGCCTTATCTTATATTGCTTATATTCGAATTCCGATTAAAATATACCTCTGTGATTAAGACTATGACTGGCTTAAGTTCTTTGGTAACAAAATGTTTGTATTCCTACCAGTTTATGAGTGACAAGCTCTGTTTCAAATATCTCTTTCTATTAATTTTTTATATACTACGGCCGCCATAGAAATCCAAGACGATATAGAAAAATCTTTATCGATTAAATGTCACTCACTGGATGGACTGAATAATGTAAGAAAGTTTTTAAATCAAACGATTTTAAACTTCTCACTTTTAATATACGTAGTCTTCAAAATAATTTTAATTATTTTTGGGTAGTCCTAAAGAGATTAAACATTACATATGACGTCATCGTTCTGACTGAATGCTGGCTACATGATAGCTCAGTAATTGGGCAAATAGCCGGTTATAAGTCCTTTCATACTAAAAAGTATATCAATAAAAGTGGGGGAGTGGTTGTTTACATTAGGTTGGACAAGTGGATGCCCTCTGTGCAGGAGCCCACCTTTGATGAGGCAAACTGCCTTAGGGTTGACTTGGATAACTCATTGTCTATACTACGCATATATCGCTCTCCCTCATTTCACAACTTAAACGGCTTTCTACAATCTTTGGACAGTACACTTCACAGCTTACAGGATAGGTCTTGTGTAATGGTGGCGGGTGACTTAAATATAAATCTGTTAGCTAACGACATTGATTTGCAGGTATCTGATTACTTATGCCTAATGGCTTCCCACGGGCAGTTGTCAGCCATTTCAGAGTCTACTAGGGGAGATACATGCTTGGATCACATTTTCATTAAATGCAAACAAGTTATCTCAGCAGCTGTATGCAAATGCTCCTTGACTGATCACTATATGCCTATGGTAGGTGTGAGCTTTGCTGAAAATAAACCTAAATCGAAAAACAGGTACAGAAATCGCATCAATCGCGCAATTAATTTGGACCTTTGCGGTATGAACTGGTCGACAATAACTGGCTGTGAAGACGTCAACGAGGCCACTTATAATTTTGACCAGATTATACAACAGCTATAGGCAAACATACTAGTAAAGTAAAATTGAGTCGCACTAAATACAACATCAAACCCTGGATTACTCCCGGGCTAATAAAATGTATGCGACACAGAGACCATTTGCATTGTCAGGTCCGTGCGAACCCTAATGACGTCGTGCTTAATCTCACCTACAAACGATATCGCAACTATTGTAATGACCTGCTGCACCGACTCAAGGCTGAGCACGAGAATGGAGAGCTAAAAAACCATAAGCGGAATCCTAAAAAGCTTTGGCAGGCAATAAGAAACGTTTGCGAGGTCCCCCAAAGGAGTAAAGATTCTGAGGAACTTTTGAAAAGTGATGTTGACATCAAGTCTTCATTAAATTTCTGTAATAGTCATTTTGTCTCCTCCGGTCAAAAATTGGCTGATCAAATCCTGTCTAAGCTTTCAACCTCAGAGGTCAAATTGAGTGCTTCCGTTGGGACTCCCAATCCTCCGCTTAACTCTTTCTTCTTTAAACCAACTGATTCATTGGAAATCAAGAGGCTGATTGAGGGTTTACGTAATGATAGTGCGCCGGGGGGTTGACGGATGTACCCCTCTTCTTATTAAATCTATTAAAGAGTCAATTTTCATTCCTCTTACTCATATTTTCAACCTTAGTCTTAGTAAAGGCGTATTTCCTGACAAATGTAAGTGTGCGGTAGTAAGTCCGATTTACAAAGCTTGACCAAAGAATAATCCGGATAATTACAGGCCTATATCGCTCCTAACAATCTTCTCAAAGCTTCTTGAGAAGATAGTTAATATCCGTCTGCTGAAGTATATCGAGAAGTTGAAGCTAGTTTCTGATAGACAGTTTGGGTTTAGGGTAGGGAAGTCCACTGAGGATGCTATTAATCTGCTGATAAATCAAATTTCATCGAAGGTGGATAATGGTAAATGCAGTCTTGGTATTTTTCTGGACCTTTCTAAGGCCTTTGACACCGTGTCTAGACAAATATTGTTGAAGAAGCTCGAAGGTTTTGGAATCCGCGGTACTGTTAGGAATTGGTTTTAAAGCTATCTCACTAATCGATACCAAAGCATGCAAATAGGGCCTGATCATATTAGTTCCCAGCTTCAGGTGACCTTCGGCGTGCCCCAGGGCAGTATTCTCGGGCCGACCCTCTTTGTTCTATATATGAATGACCTTCTAGAACTCA